ATTCCAGTTTAAATTTAACAAAAATCTACTCTTGCCAATTCATCACTAATAGTTTAAGAAATAGTTAAGAAAAAATAAAATAAACACTAAAATTACCTATGGTATCTAATAATTCAAATATCATAATAAAAAATACCAAATTAGCCCTGGCTGGTGTGGCTCAGTAGATTGACCACTGGACTGCGAACAGAAAGGTCGCCCCTTTCATTCCCAGGCACAGCACAGCCTGGGCTGTGGGCCATGTCTCCAGTAGGGGGCGCACAACAGGCAAGGGGCACCACATGTTGATGTTTTTCTCCCTCTCTTTCTCTCTGCCCTCCTCTCTCTCTAAAAGTAAATAAATAAAATCTTCAAAATGCTCTACTGGATAGCATCATTTAAAAATAATTAAAAATGAAGAAATAAGCCCTGGCTGGCGTAGCTCGGTGGATTGAGCTCGGGCCTGCGAACCAGACAATCGCGGTTCGATTCCCAGTCAGGGCACATGTCGGGTTTGCAGGCTGGTTCCCTGCAGGCCAGTTCCCAGCAGGGGACCACGAAAGGCAACCACACATTGATGTTTCTCTCCCTCTCTCCTTCCCTTCCCCTCTAAAGATAAATAAATAAATTAATTAATTAAAAAAAGTGAAGAAATAAAAAATATACAGAATTATATAATCAGCTTTAAAAAAAAATCCTATTTATGCTCTGGCTGGTGTGGCTCAGTGGATTGAGTGCCAACCTGTGAACCAAAGAGTCGCCAGTTCAATTCCCAGTCAGGGCACATGCCTGGGTTGTGGGCCAGGTCCCCAGTAGGGGGTGCATGAAAAGCAACCACACACTGATGTATCTCTCCCTGTCTTTCACCTTCCCTTTCCCTCTCTCTAAAAATAAATAAATAGCATAATTGATGTTCTCTCCCTTCTCTCCCCCTCTAAAGATAAATAAATAAAATCTTTTAAAAAAATAAATAAATAAATAAATAAAATCTCTAAAAACTTTTTAAATTCTATTTAGTATTTGACAAAAAAAAAGTCAAATGTGAAAAGTAGAAAAGGATCCAAGGTATAGACAAAGTAATCAAGCTTGAACAATATATAAAACAAATGCGATTAAAACAGATAAAGAGAATAAGATAGTAAAAACAGATTCTGTATATATAAGACCTCTGGATAGTATAATTCCTGTTTCAATCTCACAGTTTAAAAAATCTATTGTTTGCATCAAATCAGAATGTTCAATAGATAGAACTAGGAGAATATGAAATCCCATGTGAATTAAAGCCACTGTATAAATCAGGCCCTTAAGAGAGCGATAACTTTTTAGTTGCTGAGCTTTCACGGATTTTGAAAAGCTAATTTTAAAGCAATTTCCTTTTGGGACACTTAAGCACGTTCAGCTTCTGACCAAAAATGCTTCGGTCTTCCTTTAAAAAAAAAAAAAAAAAAGGAGGGACTGAGTGAATGTCTAGAGGCTGTCATTTAGTTTGAGCTTTAATAGGCTCTTAATCTCTACCTGTCTGACTTCATAGGGTGACTATTTTCAGCAACAGTGAAGGGGCAAGTGCCTTAGAAACATAGCACCATCTTTGATTTGACATCTCTCCTCTTCCAGGTTCACAATAAACTTGAAATCAAAGTCAGAGATTTCTCTTTTACAGAGTCCAATAGTAACAACGAAAATATCAAATGTCAAATCCTCAGGTGAAAAATTTATATTATGGTTTACAAAGCAAAAGTTTGGTCAAGAAAAAATGACTCCAAGTTCTACCCTCATTAATGCAGCTATAAAAGAGCTACGTTATCTTTTATTAGACATAAATTATTAAAACATGATTAAAAGCAGCTGCCATATGAACACGAGGCAAGAAAGCAAAGATCTGCTGGCATCCACAATAACTGAATATGGTATCAATACAACCACACTGAAACATCCAGAAAAAACAGGCATGTAAAAAGCATCACTCAACAGTCCTCGCACACCCCCTTGCAAATCTCCAGGTCTGTCCAGAGGCAGTGCAGGGTAGTAGTTGAAAGGAAAGGTTCTGGAGCCAAAATGCCTGCGTTGAACTCAGGCTTTGCAATTTGCTGGCTGAATGACAGAAGATAAATTATTTAACTTCTATTTGAGTTGCTTAACTGTGCCTCAGTTTTTTCATCTCATACCAAGTGCTCAATAAATATCAGGTGCTATCATTACTATAAGGAGGAAAAAGGAAAAAAAATTCCCAGGAAAACCAATAGGCCTTGAATTTCTCTTTGCTAATAGCTCATCGAAAAGATGAATATAATACTAACATACTCTAGGATTTGGTATATTTTTAAAGTTAACTGATTGCATCAAGCACATCACGCGTCCAGTGGGGATTCAATGGAGATAACCAGCCTTATGACATGCTCACCCCACACTCTGTAGGCTCAGGGGTCACACCACCTACAGAAGGACTGATGGAAGAGCAAGAGATTCACGGGTGCTATGCACTCAACTAAGTTACCTTGGAGTATTATGTATCTAGAAGTTGTTTTATCTAGTCTTATTTTGTCTTGTTTTCCATTGACAAGTCACATATGTGTTGTGGTGTGAAGTAGAAAGGAAAGGCTGTGAACAGTATTAAATACCAGAGTTAGGCAGCTGGTCCTTACACAGCTAAAACTCGATTATGCATTTTCTTTCGACCATTTCCATTACTCTTGATGTGGGGCACAAATGCACCTTGGGATATGAGAACAAGGAGGCCTCAGGCAGGGTAATCAATCTTGTCCCATGTGATCTTTAGGCAGCAATAATGTTATTCTCAGCATGCCTAAACATGAACAGTACTGCAGAATCTGAAAGGGGAAGGGACCTTAGAGGTCACCTACCCAAAGCAAAATGAAGGAATAATCTTTCCCACATCTCTTCCTCCACCTTTTCTTGAAAATATGATGGGGGTGGTAACAGCAGCAGAAGTAGTGGCTGCTGCAGCTGGTGTTTATGCCTCAAGCACTGGGCCCTGCATTCACATTCACTGACACATTGAAGCAATCTGTGAAATGAGAAAATCCTAAAAGCAAATACAAGAGATAAAAGCCTAAAATTTTAATAGAATGGGTTATAATACTATCATAAATCAAAAAAACATATCATTCATCCTCTAAATGACAGACCATCACTTTACTCAATTTAGTTCACCAGACATGAATAAAACAGAAGCACCTTCATTCACTCACTTTAACAAACTAAAGACACTTGTTATTAAAGGTCTGTGCGCCCAACACTTTAGTAAGTATGAAAAGTACCATTATTACAATTACCATTAAAACATGATCCCTGTAGCTAAGCAGTGTCTACTCTGTTCTCAGTAAAGCAGTAACTGGCTCACAAAAATGTAAGAGATAAAACCTGGTGGAGTCCACAGCAGCATGGTGTGAGGCCCAGCTCTGCCACCAGCTGTGACGGCTTAGACAAGTCAGTCAACCTGTAAAAGTCAGTGTGTTACATGTATACTTTTATATACACATGAAATCTGTTACGAAGATGTGTAAATAAGTTGCTTTACAAGTAGAATTGTTATAATTGTATAAAGCTATATATATATATATGTAAATAATGTTATAAAGGTAAAATGGGTTATATAGTGCACACTAGATCGCTCTGAGTTTCCTTCATTGCTTGATAAGCTAACCCTGAGATTTTCTCCACACCTCACTCAAATTTTACATATTACCTACCTGGATCCTAATGAGGGTAAGTACATTACACTTAAAATCATAAGTTTTATTATTTTTTTCAACTCTGTATTTCTGCATACAACTACCATCTTCAGGGACATTTTACCTACTGTGCCCTTAAGATGTTGTAAATATTTGTTATATGAAATTTTGCCTCAATTTTTTAAAATAGTTTATTTATTTATTTTTCGAGAGAGGGGAAGGGAAGGAGAAAGAGTGGGAGAGAAACATCAATGTGTGGTTGCCTCTCGTGAGTCCCCTGCTGGGAACTGGCCTAGCAACCCAGGCATGTGCCCTGACTGGGAATCAAACCTCCATACTCTGGTTCACAGGCCCACGCTCAATCCACTGAGCTACACCAGCCAGGGCTGAAATTTTGCCTCAATTTTTAAAAAATGCTTTAACCCATGCACCTGACAATTCAAAACAAAGAAAATTTGTACTATAATGTTCAAATAACAGAAGACCAGCTCATAAAAATGCAGTAATCTAAACACTTTAGCTGGAATATAAAAGGAGTAAGAGTTTGCCCGTATCATTCCTACTGCGATCTCTAAGGAATTTCCTTAAGAATATGTGATGAAGACCGATCAACCATACTGCTATTAAAATTTAGACTTGATTACTGAAATATTTACTGATTGAAAATTCAGAGACGATGGCTAGTGACCTGATTCCTACACATACATAATAAAAGAGATCGATACTATTAAAGAGAGAGAGAAGTAACTATGCCTTGGATCCCACCCCCAAGTACTGAGTCCAGTCCATTGGAGGCATTCTTTCTCATTCAATAAACATTTATTATGCACCTACTGTGTGCCAGGCATTGCACAGTGAACATGACAGACAAAAAAAAAAATCCCTTATTTCCTAATAAGAGGGATGTCTCACCATAATATCTCCCATAACGTCCCCATGTCTCCCTAAGGCTACCCAAGTGTTAAAACTCCTGAAGATCAAGTCTGGGCCTCACTCCCATCCAAGAAGGGTCAATCCCTCTGAACCCAACAGGCCTCTTAGGCTTGTAGCCCTCGGTCCCCGAGTTCTTAACCAATACAGCCCGGGATCCCTTGGACAGTGCACTGAAGCCCTCCGAACCTGATAGTGCGGTTCCACCAGCGCTTACTCGGAAGCGCCACGTGCACGCCCGGCGCGTGCCCGCCACCGTCCGGCCGTCCCGCGCAGGCGCCACCGCCGCCCGCTGGTACGCCCGTGCCCTGTACGCCACTCTGGGCTCTAGACTCGTGTCCTGAGCCCCACCAGCCCAGGTTTCGCGCGGTCCCGGCCACACCAACCACCACCTCTTACCGGCACTCTGGCACCGGCGCCCCGGCCTCCTGGCTCCCGGCGGCCGCCCCGCTGAGCGCCTCCACCACGGCCTCCACGGCCCCCGCGGAATCCCCGACCGCGGCCTCGGCGGCCACCTCCGTCCCCGCCACCTCCTCTCTCCACCACCACCGCGGCTCCTGCCCGATCCCGATCCCGGTCCCCGCTGGGCCGGTTGCGGCCAGACCGGCGACCAGGGCCGCCTCGAGCTCCTCGGTCTGCCTGCATCTGGCCGCTGCCCTAGGTGCGGAGGAGCAGGGGCCAGGCCGCTGGGAGACGCCCTTGCCCCGCCGGAAGCGGGTCGCACGGAAGAAAGCACTATAGACTGGCCAAGGTGGCTGCGAGCGGAGCGGAGCGCGGAGCGGAGCCGGGGATGGATGCCTCTGGCGGGGGCGGGGCGGTCCGGGATCCTGGCAGGTTGGGCCGGAAGGGCCTCGGGGAAGGCTGGAGGCTCGGATGAAGCCCGGACGGTGGGAGCCAGCAGTGAGGACCCATCCCGCGTCTGGGGGTGGGGCTGTGGTAGGAGAAAGGACAGGTTATAAAATAGTTTGTGTAATATAAACTCGTTTTGGTTTTTAAAAAAGGAAAGAAAAAATACAAATATCGGTGTATTTGCATGAAATGCCTAAAGTGTATGCCAAAATGTTAGGTGGTTAACTGTGGTGAAACAGTTCATTTTTGTTTAATCTCCTGATTATCCAGAATGAGTATAATTTTTAAAATTTATACCAAACTCGGGATTCAAGAGCAGGTATGGAGGAAAAGGCAGGGTGGGTTTCAGGTGAGAGGTGGGTGTGGACTGCAGCAAGCAACCGGGATTAGAGAGAAGAGTACAAAATTTTTAGATGGGTAGGCAGGCTCTGAGGTCCCCAAGAGAATTTCTGTAGAGGTGACTATTTCAGCTCACTCTTATTGGTCACGTGAGCCTTACATTCTCCTAGTGGCCCTGTTACCCTTATTTTGCAGACGAGGAAACAAAACAACCCGAAAGAAGTTTACTCACCTTCGGTAACACAGCAGGGTAGTGGTGGAACTAGCATTCTAGCTCACTGCAGTCTGTTCTTATGTTTCTTTCTACTTATTCGATAGAAAGTTTTTGAGACTTTTCCATGTTTTATGATTTAATGTTTTGTTTCTTTTTATGCCTAAGTAGTAGTACATTTTATGGATCAGTCTATATTTTTAACTGAGGGGAAGAAGGGCAATTGGTTATGCAAATACATGGGAGCCATTTTTAACTTCGTATTACAGAAACCACATGACAATAATAAAAACAAGGGTTTAAATCGAAATTCCATCATCCAATCAGCATTGCAAAATAAGTGTTTTCTTCCTTCCCAGTCTTTTCTGGCCCTCGACCCATATGTATACACTTGTATTTAACACTATTTGTTGCTTCAGTTGTCTACTCTGTCAGGCACAGTGCTGTGTCCTGAAGATTTTTTTTAAAAAGCCATCGTCTCTACCCTTAAGTCATTGGTCACTTCCCACAAGAAAGATACTCCTGTAAACAAATTATTGCAGTAGTGTGCTGAGTACAGTGAGAGGTTCAAGGTGAAGGTCCAAGGGAAGAAAATTTAAACTATGACTGAGTCTGTTGTCCAAGACTTCATGAAAAATAGACCCTTAAGGTAGGGCCTGAAGGTTGAGCAGGAGTTTGATAATTGGAGGTAGAGGAGCTTCCCAGGCAAAGGGAACCACTGAGAAAGGTGTGTAAAGTGGACAGAACTCAGTCTTAAACACAGTAATACCGCAATTACTGTACCAAAGGCCATTCTAAGTCCTTCTTTAAATCTCTCAGCAGCCCTATATAAGGTCACACTAGTGCCCCTACTTTGCAGATAAAGGATCTAAGAGACGTTAACTAACCTACAAAATCGCATAGCTACTAGTGGAATGATTGGAACCCAGGGCAGTCTGGCTTCAGAGGCTTGCTCTTAATCACTATACTCTCAAAAAAATTATTCTGCAGAGCAGAATTAGAATATCTAGGCATAGCCACTTGGAAAACACTGGAATAATCTAGGCCCTAAATAGGGCCTGAATTAACTTGTGAGCCCAGGAAGCAGACAATAGGACAGAGAGGAAGAATTAATACTACTTCATGTCCAGTTGTAAGTGTGAAAGTCGGAGGAAGAGAAGTTAGGGTAGACGCCCAGGTTTCTTGCTTGAGTGACCAGGTAGCTGATGCCATTGGTCAAGAGAGAATGCAGAGTTAGGGGAGAGGATGTTGTCGGGAAATAGTGTTTTTTTTAAGGATGTATTCTGTACTTTTCTGTGTTGCTTTTTATCTTAACATTTTGGTCAGTAGACCCTTCTCACACTTCTTCAATTTTTCTTACTCTTCTCCCTCTCTACTGTTCTCCAGCCTTTCCCTTTTTATTTATCCCTCCAGGCCCTATAGGCCCTATTCCACACCCCCCTCTTTATTCCCCTTGTCTCTACTTATAAAATTAAGGTTCACTGTGGCATTCAGGATTAAGTTATTTATCCCCAGGCTAACCAGAAATTCAGTAATTCCTCCTCTAGAAAAACACTAAACCACAGGAAGATGGGAAGCATAGAAAGAATTGTATCCTTTTTTCTGCACACCAGAGGAACTAGCAGATACACACATAGGAATAGTATTTTTTAAACCCAGTGGACAACCTGGCCCCCCAACCCATGCGGCCAGGAATGATAATGGTTTGGTACAATATATTGATTGTCTCTTTCTAATTCTACAGCCAGTGACATAAAGTTGGTGACTTGAAATGGGCCACAATGGGAACTCTTACACCACAGAAACTGGCAAGTTTCTGCAAATCAGGGCTTTGTTGGCCGTGGGGCAGAAACAGGTTAAATTTCCCAGTACAGCAGTAATCTGGGCTCACCTCTCCGGAGGTGAACATCCATGTATCAAAGTCATGCCAGGCATTAGCACAAATCAAGAGTTTCTCAGCTTTGGCACATTGAGGTCTAGATGATTTTTGTGGTGGCAGCTTGTCCAGTCCGTTAATGTTGGAGAGGATCACAGCCTCTAGCATTCAGTAGTCTCCCCTCATCCACAGGGGAGATGTTCCAGCCCCCAGTGAATGCCTGGAATCGCTGAGAGTACTCACCCTGTATGTACTGTTTATCTCCTGTGCACACATATCTGTGATAAAGTTTAATTTATAAATTAGACAATCACAATAAAACTGACAGTATGCTGTAATAAAAGTTATGTAAACATGTCTCTCAAAATACCTTATTATACTGTGCTCACCTCTTCACTTAAAGGAAGTGTATTACAACTTCTTTGGCATGTCCGAATTGCCACATCACTGTTGTGGTTCAGGAGCATTATTAAGTAAAAAAGGGGTTGGTTACTCCAACATAAGCACTGTGATACCATGACAGTCAATCTGATAACTCAGACAGCTGGCCACTAAGGGCCTAAGGGGCTGGTTGCATACACGGGGAAGATGCCTGAACCAGGATGATTTGCGCTGTGGGTGGGAAGGAGCAGAATGATGAGTGATTTCATCACTACCCAGAATGACATGAAAGTTAAAACTTCTGAATTGTTTATTTCTGGAATTTTCCATTTCGTATTTCCAGACTGCGGTCGACAGTGGTTAACTGAAACCATGAAAAGCAGAACCACAGACAAAGAGGATTACTAGAGTTGCTGCCCGCTAGGAGCCCTCCCCATAGCTATGACAAAAGTGCCTTCAGACATTTCCAAATGTCCCTTAAGCAGCAAAATCACCTTGGAGGAGAACTAGCACAAATGGATTTGACTATGTAAGTGTCCCTCAAGAAGCCTCTAAAATTGTGAGGTTAAGAAGATCAGTGGCTGTCAAATTAAGCCAACTTCATTAAGGCACATTCATTTACTTAACACTTCCACTTAGCAGTCAATTTAAGACTCAACAGCACTATTGAAAGGTATTAATTACTATGCTTGTTTTACAGAAAGCCTTGTTTGTGGATAGTGGGAGCTCACATTTAAACTTTCCTTTGTACCTAGCACTATTCTAAGCACTTCATTCATACTAATTTAATCTTCATAATATTCCTATGAGGTAAATACTGTTATTCCTATTATACAGATAAGAAAGCTGAGTCACAATGGAGCTAAATAATTAGCTCATGCTGATAAGTGACAGAACTGGGACTCATACCCAGACACTATGGTTTTAGAATCTGTGTCTTTAAACCTATGCTGCAGACGCCATCGGAGGCCAGAGACCACGTTATCCTCCCCTCCCCCACCTATTACCTGTAAGTCAAGGGTTTTTCCTATTCAACCAGTCGTGTTCCAGATACAGAGGGTTCTGTGGTCCCCTGCTGACACTGCCTAATCGGAGGACACCAGGAGCGGAAGTTCTTTTAACCAGGAGGTTGAGTATGCTTTCCTCATTCGATTCTGATCAACATGGAAAAGATGCCTGTCATCAGGGTGAAAATACCATACCAGTTCCTCCTGTGTTGCAAGAAGCCAGAGACCTTTTGATTTGGTAAATAACAAAGGAAATGAGGGTTTTCTGGTATCACTTTTACTTGAGAGCCCTGACTTTAAGCATATGCCATTGCATGAATAAAAAATTCAGTTTTCCTTTAGGTAGTATTCATGAAACAGCAAAACCAAGTGCTAAATTACATCAGTAGCTCCTTAAGGAAATAGACTATACTTTCTGCATTTAAAAATACATATATAGCCCTGGCTGGTGTAGCTCAGTGGATTGAGCACGGGCCTGCGAACCAGACAATCGCGTTCGATTCCCAGTCAGGGCACATGCCAGGGTTGCAGGCAGGTTCCCTGCAGGCCAGTTCCCAGCAGGGGACGCACGAAAGGCAACCATACATTTGATGTTTCTCTCCCTCTCTCCTTCCCTTCCCCTCTAAAGATAAATAAATAAAATCTTTTAAAAAAAATACATATATAACCTAATTTTTTTAAAGGAAGCCAATTCTTTAAGGCAATAGTTCTCAAAATATGGGCCAGCAACATGGCAGCACCTGGGAACTTGTAGAAATGCAAATTTTCAGGACACACCCCAGACTCAGAAACTCGGGGTAAAACTCAGCAATTCGGTGGTTGAACAAACCCTCCAGGCAATTCTGATGCTGCTCAGGTTTGAGAACCACTGTCTCAAGGGAGTTTCTGAGCCTCAGACATCACAAGAAAACTTCATAATCCTAGGCTAAGGCCACGGATATCGTAAGCTCTCACTGTTTGATCAAAGTAGATGCCAAGTTAGGTCTTTTTAAAACAAGGCCCTGTCACCTTGCAAATATAATTTTCATGTAACAAATGCATCTTCCTGATCCTTCTCTTTGTAAGCAGGCAGATTTAGTCGA